CCCACATCCCTGTCTCCCCCGCCACCTCACCCACATTGTCTTGCTGAGAGTAAGAGGGAAAACAAGGTTTGGAAGCAGCACTGAGGCTGTGGATTTCGAAAGCAAGGAATCAGACAGTCCTGTCCGTTTTTCCAAATCTCTGGGTTGCTTCTATAGAAAATCAGTTCAAGGGTGTCCCTTCCACACTTGAATCTTTGCAGAAGAAATTTGCAGGCCCAGTTCAAAGGCAGCAGAGCAATTCCTGGTTCACACATAATAGATGGAGCTAGCCTTCCAGGACAGGTAGCCCAACCATACTGAGCCGTGGGTAGGTAGGCAGGTAGGCTGGCTGGTGGCTGGTAGAGATGCGCCCACCGAGTGAGAGAAAGGGAGAGATTAAAAGACTCGACCGGCACACAAAAGAGACATCCAGGATTCACACTCACTAGTCTCAAGGCAGAAGTTGGTTGACATCCCTACATGTCCATCACACGTCCGTCCTCCGTATGTGACGTTGAGCAGGAGACCCCAACTTATTCTTTGTGATGTTATACCTGAAATGTCCTTCCATGGCGAGACAACAGTGACCAGCAGGCAAAAAACTTGCATGTGAAAAGCAGCCTGAGGTCTGGGGAAGAGGTAGGTTCTGTTCTTCCAGATGGGTTGGACTACATGTCCCCGAATCCTTTAGCCAGTTTTGACAGCTGGAACATTCTAGGGGAATGGAGGCACCACGCTGGGATGGCCAGCCTGGAGTACGGGTGGGAACCATGAGGTTCCGCTTTGCAGGAATTTTTGCCAAGTCCAGAAACGGTATCTGAATGCAATTCTGAAGTCTAAAATCCAGATCTGGACCAGGCTTCCAAAGGAGAGGCTGGAGTTGATATGGCTACTTTTTGTCCCATGGTGATGGCACATTGCCTGGAGGTTTCTCTCTCTCTCCTAGGACCTCTCAGCAGTCCATACAGTCTCAGGGGCTGGATGTACGTCAGACTGGCGAAGGAGCCTCCCAGTACTCATTGCTCGCCTTGCTCTGGTTCAGCTCCTGCAGGGTATTCCTTCTTCGCAGGCTAAGCACCAATGTTCGCAACATGGTGTGCCATCAGGCGAGCATGGGAAGCTCTTGCTTCTTGCCACCCGTGCAGGGCATCACATCACTCTTGGGCAAGTCAGTAGTGTGAACACAGTTGAAATACCATGCAGAGACATCGCTTTTTCAGGCTGCCGGATGCTGGGGAAACCCAAAAGGAGAGGGCGGCTACCTCCACATCTGTTCACAGGCTTTCGGCTTTCGCCTGACCCCCACGGTCTGACCCAGCAGGTCTGACCTGAATGTTCCTCGTGCTTGCGATGGTTTCGCTTGCTCTTCTCCCACCCATTTTGCTATTTCATCATCTTTCTCCGGCACATGTACAACTATGTGTCTGAAGAGTATTTGAATTCAAAGAGATGAGGTTGAAAAGGACAATCCCTTAATCCCCCATGGCAGTTCATGGCCAAGCACAGACATAATTCATGGATGTGGGGCTTGCTCAACCTGAGGCAGTTTTTCCAGTTCCCTGCAACAGCTGAGACACATCTGTGCAAACATCTGCATCGTACAGTCCAGGGGCTGTGGCGTGTGCATCTCTTGAAAGCATTTGGGTTAGCACAGGTCATATATGGACTGAAAGGGTGCAAGCCATGAATGTTAACTTTGTAATTACAGCCCTGGCCATCCAAACAAGGCGTGCTCTTGGTAAAACCCAATTAACCACAGAGCTGGTTTGGTTTTTTAATGCCTGTTGGTAGCCCTTCAGCTGCATTCTTTTTAAATGGTGGGTCTGGCCATTCTTGAAGAAACTCCCCCTTTGGGAAAGGGCTGAGGCTCAGTGGTGGAGCCCCCACTTTGCATGCAAACAGACTATGAAGTATTGGCCAGAGATCCCGTGTGGCTGGCCCTAAGTAGCAGAGCTTGTTCCTCTCTAAGAAAGTGGCTTTGGTCCCAATAAGAGCAGTTCCCAGAGACCCAAGACTGCCCTGAGATCAGAGCCAGTGTTTGCTGGCTGGTGACCCATTGGGCGGGAGCCCCATAGCTTTCATGTGGCAGCCTGAACCTCCGGGGGGTCCCCTGCCCCCCCACATGAGCGCTTGCTGATCTCCCTGAAAAGCCCTGTTAGCTTACCCACAAGGCTCCTGATGTAGACCAAGGCTTCCATACTTAATTTTGAGACGGGAGAAAGAGATACTGCAGCTGCTACTGTGCATCTTTAAAGCAATGTGCCCCTAAATCCAGATTACTTCCACCCATGTCCTTTAGGGATTCCAGTTTGCAACCGACTATTTATGATGGTGGAAAAGGAGACCTCCAGCTAGGTTTACTTTCGCCACCCCAATATGATATTCTAGTGACATGTGGCATTGTTTTCTTGGCAATTGAAAGAGGACCTGTGTTTTGAAGACACTGCCAAGATAACTGAACTCTTGATCTCCAGGATATACCCAGAAGAAGAAGGATCGAGTGAAAGTCTGGTGCATAATGATTTCAGGGGATTCTTCTTATTAAAAGATAATCATTTGCACGCTTTCATTTCCCCATGGATTTCCTTCACATTTCTGGCCTCAGAGCTGCTTCCAATCAAATGCAGACAGAGTTTGCTTGCAGCCTCTAGGGTGATGTTTCACCTTCCTTTCCTTCAGCAAACAGGGAAAGTCCATGTGGCACAGCAGTTCAAGTGCTGGACTGGGATCCTGGAGACCTGGGTTCGAGTCCCCACTCAACCATCAAGCTCACTGGGTGACTTTGGGCCAGGCAGAAATGTTCAGCCTAACCTCCCTCCCTGGGTTGTTGTTCTTGTGAGGATGAAATGGCATGGAGGAGAACCATGTAAGACACGCTGGGCTCCTCACAAGAGAAGAAAAGGCAGTATGGAGATTCAACTTAATAAAAGCCCTCACGGGGGAACAATGCTGCAGTTCTAGCATTCATGTGGTTCTTAAGGGGCAAGCATGACAAGGAGCATTTGTTAGATTCCCAAACGGAGGGCCACTAAGCATCACCAGCATCGGTAGCTGCTAAGATCGTAGAATTATGCCTATGCAACGGAGGAGTCTATTTTGCTACCCTCCTTTCCCCTTCGGCTAGAAAGACAATAAGGCAAACTGTGACCGCTGCAGTTCAAATTACTGCCAGAACCTGAGCTTCGACGGGAGCCTACAAACGTCTGGCCTTTAGAGCACTGAGTACTTCTCTCCTCCACAGATCTGTCATTGCTGTATTAAACCCAATTATCCTGCAGGTCAGTTGCAAGATGCATGACGAGTCAAAACACCTCTTGTTTGATTTAATCCACGACTGCAGCCCAAGGGTGTCAGGGAATCGATGTACCCATTGATCTCTTCCATGAGCAAAGGTGGTCTAATTCTGTTCCGTGCTGAGGAATGCTCAGTTCTCTTCTCTGCTGTTCCCTCTTCCTGTGGACCGTTATCCTTATACTGGGCTTGGGCCTTCAGAATGACAGCACATCAGGTTGAGCACAGTCCTCTGGAAAGCACATGGCCACCTAGGCCTGTATGCTACAAGATGGAGTGATCTCTTCTGCGGATGGGGGTCCTTACATTGAATTCCATTTCTTCCTGTCCTACAGCATTTGCACCAAAAATGCCTGGCCATCTGTAAGGACATCATCCAAAGGGAATATCGGCCTTGTGTGCAAGCCATTTCCCCTTGATCAAACAGTCCTGGTTTTCCCTGGGAGATCCAGTGGCTACCAGCAGCTTTGGGAGAAAAAGGTCCTTTCTGGGAAGGGGAGACTTTCAGTGACAAAACTGCATGGAGGGGAAAAATAAAAATGCCCCCTTGCCTATTTTTGATTGCAGACTAAATGATGTATTTAGAGTGATGCAGAGTTTAACTCTCAGGTCAAGACCACCTCGCTTGGATGAGAAACACTTGTCACTCTGACTCTTCTTCGTTATGGTCAGGGTTGAGTCTTGGTGCAAAATTGTTTGAATATTGCATTATTTTGACATTGTCATTGTTAGCTTCCCACGGAGATAGAAGTCTGTTGGATGCAAATATCTGTGTAAATAATCCTTTGTAGAACCATAGTTCTTACCTTGTTTGGAAGAGAAGCCTGTGATATGACCCCGCACAAGAGAAGGCCAGGTGTCAGACATAAAGCCACTGCTTAAGCTAGCTGCAAAATTGGAAAGCAAAATGCACCATCTCTCTGGACTCTGAGGGGGTTTGGCTACCAAGCAGGAAATTATTCCTAGCAGGAAGAATATTCAGGATAATTTGACTTATTACATTAAGCGCTTTTGGAAATGTATTCTTTGTGGTATCATAAAGCTCTGTGCCCCATAGTTATTGGGATAATTTAATTTTCTTGCTAGCTTGTTGTCTCCTTCTCCTTCTCCTCTAACACCACATCTATCTTCTCTCTCTCTCCCTCTCTCTCTCCCAGGAGATTGAGAGAGAATCTCCTGCCTTCCCTCCCTTTCTGAAATGGTATGTGTTGTATTGGGGGGCGGGGGGTGTAATTTTACCACTGATGGGTTAGTTTAAAGCTTGACAAGAGAATGAGCAGAAGTAGGTCCCCAATGCGGTGTGGTGCTCCGTTGCATAGATGCATGATTGCCTAATGCACCCATTGCATCTGTTCATGCTTGCGACCCTGTTACATTTGCTGCTAGATGCATTGTTATTATGCGCATACTGCTGTGGACGCACCCACGCACCCACGCACAAGGCAGGGGGGGTACTTTTTTGATTCACTGACTGTTTCACATCTGATTCTTGGAGGGTGGAGGGTTTCTGAAGACTTCTTTTAGCCAGAGGGAAGTCAATGGACAGAAATACTTGGGCTTGAGTGGAGATGACGGGGTGAAGGGGAAAAGTCCTCCTGGGTTGTTCTCTGCAAAACTGGTTGCTTTCCAAACAAAAATGCTGCACTTGCACCTTTTCTGCATAGAGGGAGAGGGGTTTGGCAGGAAAGTTCACAGCCACCAAGTCATCTTTCTCTTTCTCCGTGGGACAGGTCATAAGCACCCTGGTGACCACTGCTAGCAACGTTTCGGGAGTCTATTTCTGTGTGGCTTCCAGCGAGGCTGGCAGGGAAGAAAGACAACTCAACTTCTATGTCTCAGGTAAGATGGACACATGGACTGCAGGTGGCGCAGTGGTTTAAACCGCTGTGCTGCTGGGCTGGTTGATCGAAAGGTCGCTGGTTCGAATCTGCACAACGGGGTGAGTTCCCGTTGCTCCGTCCCAGCTCCTGCCAACCGTGCAGTTCGAAAGCATGCAAATGCGAGTAGATAAAAAGGCGCCACTTCGGTGGGCAGATCACAGCATTCCGTGCACTTTGGTGTTTAGTCATGCCGGCCACACGACCACGGAGACTGTCTGCGGACAAACGCTGGCTCCCTCGGCCAGGAAACGGAGATGAGCACCGTCCCCTGGAGTCAGGCATGACTGGACTTCACGCCAAGGGGAAACCTTTACCTTTAAGATGGGCACATGGTGCCGCGGGTTGCTTCACCCCATGACTGTCTCTCCCCACACCTGCTCACGGACAACCTTGGCCAGCCGCAGTCCTTGCTATTGCAAGCGCACATCATGCATTCTGCAGGTGGAAAGCACTTCATGCAAGGAGAAGAGGAGCCCGCTGCTGGCCTGGCCAGTCACGCCACAGCTGGACATTCCAGCATTGAGCATGGACCTCTGAAGGAGGGGCACCTATGCATATAAGCTCCCATGAGATCTGGAACGGCATGCAGTCAGAGGCCAAGAGAGCACGGAAACTTACATGTGTAGAGTCCTGCGCACAGGCAGGAGGAGGCATGAGTGTACGCATGCATGCTCTTAACCTGCAGCACACAAACTGAAAAGGGCCGGCCGTCCCTTCGGGCAGGGTTCAGCAGCCGCTTCGGGCAGAGGACGCGTGGGGAAGGCAGCAAAGCCCTGGAGGGGGAATGGTGGGCTGTGCGGCCTTGCCCCCAACCCCCAGGTGGGAGGAGGGTGCTCCCCTGTCGCCGTCTTTCTCAGAAAGATGCATCTGCGAGGCCGCTTGGATTTTTTGTGCACGGAATGGGAGGGTGCCCCTTGCGCACTGGCTCAGGCGGCACACGGCCTCACGTGCCCTGCAAGTTGGCCCTCGGGGAGCTGCATCATGCCGAGTCAAGACATTGGTGCGTCAATCTCTCTGTCCGCCACCTTTCTAGACTTGCAGGCTGAGCCTGGATGGGACCCAGGAACGTCTTTGCCCAGCGCTCGTGTTCTGCCGTTTGCCGCAGCTCCTCCATCAGTTAGCATGCAGGGTTTCAAAAGAAAGAAAGGTACTTCTATAGGAACCAACAGGGACCTTTTTAAAAGTCCACATAAGACCATTAAATAGTTATGGGCACTGTCCATTTAATCACTGAGAAGTGCCCGTAAAAATTTACTCCAGAATAAATGGGTAGCATCTTTGAAGTACTGCAAGACTTTGGGGTGCTGCAAGAAAGTAACTTCTTTCCTAGAAATAATAATTGGTTTGTTTTATGAATGTCTTCTCCTAGAGCACTTTACAAGGTAGTTAAAAGCAAAAACACCATTTCAATCTTTGAGACTGAGAGTTAAGTGAACACAATTATTTTTTCTGGCTCTGTTTATCTAGTGTATTTTTAGAAATGTTATAAAGGAAAAGAAAAATGTAATAACTTTTATTTATGAGACAGTTACAGCTGGATGCTCAATGGCACATTCTTTATCTAGTGAAAGCCCAAATAATTATTAATATAAAGTAATGTTATTATCAGAGATGAGGAGGAGGAGGAGGAATTACGAATGCCAGTCAGAGGGCATCATCATTTCCCCATGGCCTGCCTGTCACTCTTTTGAGACCTTTGCTAGGAAGGGCCCTCCTGGAAATCCATGGAATGCTGCTCAGGTCCGATTCATTAAGAGAAGCTATCATGTTTGCTCCAGCCAGTTCCCCCCACCCTTAACATACTTATGAGAGGTTTTAAAGGCCTGCATTATCTCAGGTTGGCAAGCTGATGGCACGTTCTCTCCTGACCCTAAGCCACCTGGCTGCTTTCTTGAAAGCTCAGATGCAGGACTCCAAAAGAATCTCATTAAGGAGGTGAGAGTGCATCCTTCCAGGGCTGCAAAATCAGTGTTTTAGCTGTCAAAGGGACACCGAGAATCCATTTGCATGCACCGATTCATTAATTTCCAGAAAGCAGAGCAATTGTTTAAAGCCTGGTCCTGTACAAAACCTATCTGTATAATAAACCCTCTTCCCAAAAAGACACGATGGCAGGATATTGCCAGGCCATATGTCTGAAAGAGGCGTTCACTGCATTATGCTGCCAAATCAAAGAATTATACAGCCGGATCAAAGAATCCCCTCATTCAAAGATGTTGTAGTGGCCAAAAGCTTGCGGACTAGATCCACAGACATGATTTGGCAGAATGGGACAATCCAGCCCTTATTCCCTTCCGGCTCCAAACCTTGCACTGCTCATCCCGGTTATTCACCAACAACAAGTATTTATAGTTGTGGACTGTGAGTCACTTTGCCCAAACAGCTTCAGTCAGTGCTCCCAGTCATGACTGGTGCTGCAAATCCAACCAGCCTGACCTAGATACTCAGCAGTCCTGCCCTTGGAAGGGATGCCTTTCAGCCACAGTTGGCCAGTCATATTTGGAGCATGGGATAGGCAGCCACAAGGACCAGTTTATGCAAAGTGAACATTGCTTTACCTGTCCAGGACTTCTTTTCATAGTGGCGCCCACCTTGCAGAAATCTCTTCCCAGACAGACCTCCTCATCTTCCTTATCATTCTCCTTTGGGAAGTGGGCTCTCCATCTGGCAGACTGATCATTAGCTATGCCTTAATCTTTTGGAATGTGCTTTTGAGATCTACCTCTAATATTAATAGCAGACACTGGTCACTTTTTGGGTCCCTTATAAATATAGAATATCACCTTATACTGGATTGTGATGCATTTCTACTTAGAAGGAAGCCCCATCGAGTTCAAGGGGACTTACTTCCTGGAAAGTGAGTGCAGGATTAAAGGCTTCATGATTTTTAATGTGCTTTAGCATGTGCTGGTTGTTTGCTGTTGCTGGGATTTAATTGTGGTGTTATTGTTAAAAAGGAAAGCAATCCATACATTAAAAATGCAAGCATCAATACAATTCAGGTAGAGATAGTGAAAGTAGGTCTTCATCGGGGGCCTACAAAATTCTACAGAGTGGTAAGCAAGCTGTCAAGTTCCACAGCACTCTTGGGATAAGTGTTAAGAAAATCCAAGGGAAAGCGATGCATCAGGGACAGAGCAAGGTGGAAGTTCAGCCTGCCGTTCGTTACAGTTCTAAGACACTAATGGAGAGAGCTCTTTGGAGGAAAAATGTCCTTATCTCAGCTGAGCAATTGTGAACATAATTACCAGGTAATTATGTGGTGTAGACCATGTTGTCAAAGACTGAGGAGGATGTTCAGCGACAGACACGCCTGGGTTTCTTGTCGAGTCTTTTATGGAGCATCGCATAGGGCAGATTTCATCAGTCTTCCCTCACTTCATTGGTTTTGGGAATTGTTCTCACCAGCCTGAAAGCAAGCAGGTTGCCCATCTTCTGGGCTGTATTTCAGTTGTGTGTGTCCTTTTCTTTCTTCTGTTCCAGAAGTGCCATCTGACCTCCAGACAGAGCCACAAGTCACAGCCATTGTAGCAAGCGACGTTCAGATGACCTGCAAGTCCACCAAGTACATCTACACACATCTCTCTTGGTATGACCCTGCCTTGCAAGAAATCCCAGATACCTTCACACACAAGAAAGTGGACAACTATTCTATCTCCTTGACGCTGGACCTGAAGAATGTCTCTCAGCTCAATGCCGGGTTATACAGATGCAGAGCTCGGAAGTATCCAAACAGCACTGAGGGGTTGGAGAAAAGTACCATGCTCAGCATCAAAGGTGAGTCTCATGGTTCGTGGCTTCTTTGGTGTGTCGCAGGAATGCAAGAGGGCAGGGAAACATGGCAGGCAAAGTCGGACGCAGACTGGCAATCATGCGTTGTGGCTTGTCCTCAGCCCTGGGTTCTGCAGTTCTGGGTAAGCCATTAAAAAAAAAGCAGCTGGGGGCATTCTTGAGATTCCACGGGGCCATGCCTGATAAGTTGTCCTGACTTGGCGTGCCGGAAGTTGTCTGGGTCTCGAGCTAGGCAGGGCAGCTAATGTTCTAAAGTTAGGAACATGAGTGAATGGCTGCTGGATCAGACCAAAGGTCCATCTAATCTGTGTTGTTGGGAACTGCCCAGAGAACTTTGGCCATTGGCTGGTATATTTTATTTATTTATTTATTTAAAACATTTCTATGCCGTCCCCATCGCAACAAAGCCTCGGGGTGGCTCACAAAGGATACATAAATACATAAATAATAACAATGTAACAATTTAAAAAATTGTTTAAAAACCCCCAGTGCATTCTCGGCTAAAAATTTCAAATCCTATTAATCCAAATAATTTAACAATTAAAATAAGTTTTAAATAAAAAGGTCTTCGCCTGGTGCCCAAAAACAAATAACGACGGCGCCAGGCGGACCTCTCTGGGGAGTGCATTCCATAGGTTGGGCGCCACCGCAGAGAAGGCCCTCCTCCGGGTACTCACCCTCCCAGTGTCCTTCATGGAGGGCTCCCGGAGGAGGGCATCTGTTGCTGATCTCAAGGGGTGGGAGGGCATATATATGGGCGCAAGCGTTCCTTTAGATATCCTTTAGGTATAGAAATTAATTAATTAAGCAGCAGGCACCCTGTTGTTGCAGTAAGATGCCTGAAACAGATGCCTGAAAAGCAAGGCATCAAAACTGATTTCCACTCTCGCTGCTCTGATTGGCATTCGCTACCCTGAAGGTGGAGTATGGCTACCGTGCCTAGTAACTCTTGATAGCTCTGCTGTCCATGAACTGTTCTAAAATGCTGCCTAAGTTCATTTGTTCATGCTTTTGTGGGGCTGCCTGGTCTGTCTCTGTCCCCATGCATATGTTCAGGTAAGTCATTTTTTAATACCCAGCTAGGACTTTTGAAAGTTGAGGCAAGGTGCTTTAAAAGTCTCAGTCACTTCCATAAATGGTATTTTTTCACAACTTCATTGGCATTCAAACATGGTTTTCAAGAGGCATATCTGTGTGCTTCAGGATGCCCATGCAAGACCCAGAGACCTCTTGGTTTTGAAAGAGACTGCTTGCTACCTCTCATGGTGGACGAAGTAAAAATATGACTGTGAACAAGCCTAAAGTTTAAGAAAACTGGAGACAGATCAAGGACACTCAGAGTTGATTCTGTGTCCACGTGTTGTTGTATCTAACTCACTATTACGAGAAAACATTTGAACAAATCCCCCATGGATCTTGCTTAACTGTGCAAATAGAAGCCTGAAGTGATCAACTCTCAAAGGCTACTTGTAAAATTTTCAAAATGCCTGGGATGAAATTCTATACAGTGAGTTGCTTACATATTTTTGGCTTCATATTAGCAGCAAATATTTTTTCTACCTGGCTTCAAAGGGAGTAAAAATGGAGGTCTTTAATCAATCTAAAGCATCAACAGCCTTTGAAGTCTCACCCAGCAAATATTGCAGGTGGCCTTAAGACCAGCATGCAGAGCGACCATCCGCTACGGTCTGGTGCCCGCTTTGTTTTATGCAAGTTATGTGGAAATAGACCAATCTGGTGCCCATCTCCAGCTCATTATGAGTTGCCAGATGTATCTTGGTTCCCAAATAAATTCCTCTATGCCAGCTGCAGTGCAGAAATGTGAAGTCAGAAGGGAGAAGCTATGCCCACATTTGCCCAAGTGATTAAAACATGAAGAGCAAGGTTAAAAGCATGGCGCTTCTTCTTAGCTTCACCACACTTCTTCTTCCTGGTTTGTTTTTGCATCTCTCGGACGAGGGAAAATGTACTTGAGTGAGAATGGAAATGGGAGGCCTTTGGACTTAACAATGTCATTTATCTTTTGTTTCCAGTTAAGATGGTGCCTTACATTGTGGAGAACTTTACGGACTTAGAAGTGAATATCAGTGGGAAGATAGTTCTGGAGTGCAAGGCAAACGGGACACCAAAACCTGTTATTGCCTGGCTGAAAAATGGCTACCTGATTGCTCCTGCTTCAGGTAAGGCGGCCGTGCCGACTGCTGGGTATTTATTTTATTTATGTATTGCGATTATATACTGTTCAACAGACATGCATAGCTCCCAGAACAGTTTACAAAAAAGCAGTACTAAAAATATAGATGCCCATAATTACGATAATAATTACAGTGCATAATTATTTGTGGTGATGTTTTCATGATTAATGTGTGCAATGCACTTGGGAGAGGCTGCAATTTGCTAACGGAGCACCAGCTTTCAAACATTCCCAACTCTCGCAAACAGGAGTGAAATGGTTGCACATCCCTCAATTTGCCCAGTTCATGCTGAAGACACATAGGACCGACACTCCTGCCCTTGCTCTGAGCCTGGAAAGGGGCATCTGCAGGATTAGACCAGCTCCTGTGTGGTCCAGTGGCCTTCACTGGTCTTGAAATGTGCCTTCGTCCATTGGGCATGTTTGCCACCCATCTATCAAGCCTGGGCTGAGCAGCTCCCTAGGGTGAAAATGCACATATTCAATGCTTCGTTCCCTGACCGATTTCCTCCAGTCATTCTTGCATCTATAATTTTCCTTCTCGGGTTAGGCAAAAAGGATCATCTATAATTCAGAGCATGCTGTTCTGGGCAGAAGCTCTTTACAGCTTCTGAAATTTCATAAATAATTCCAGAGGGACAAACATGTAACTCATCCAGCCAATGGAACCATAAATAAAATATCTGGAGAAAAAGAAAAAAACACCTCGGGGTAAATATTCCAGCACTCTGCACACTAACTGGCATGCAGCGCTTATGTTAACAACAGCCACATTCACACACAGGACACGTTGTAAAAGCTAAATCCAACCCTCTTCGGACGCCATCCCCAGTGGGTTGTACCTGCTGGTGATGACACCTCCTTAGCAAAGCAGGTTTGCGTGAAGATGCACGCTCTGACAGCCGGGACGTTATGGAGAGAGGATGGCAGTGGGGGGGATTATGGGGCATCCTGTGCTCGGCACAGACGGAGGAGCTGCTTCTGGTGCCTCGCAGGGCTGTCTTCTAGTTATCTCATGAGGCCTGCTTTCTCACTGCCACAGTCAACACTGCTGTTGCTTCTCTTCTGCTTCGGCATCATTGGTACCCTTTGTGTGTTTGAAGAGCGGAGAGCCAGAGAGCACGGAGCAGGCACCACTTCTGGACTAGCACCGCTGTCTGGGTCCAGAAAGGGGCAGAAGGACAAGCAGGTGGCAAGGGCTTTCTTCAGTGGGCTCCCGCTCTGGTAGGAGCCCTTGGCAGGGGCCGGCTTGTCCCTCCTGGTGGCCTGCCCTCTGTGCTTGTGGAAGGCCTTGGCATTGCAAAGGACGGTGCACAAATAGAAGTAGGGCTTGCAAGGGACTCTGGAGGAGGACAGCTCCCAGCAATGGGCCACCCACCATCAGGACAGAGCCTTCACATTTTCTCACCAAATTGGAGAACAAGAGATCATTTGGGGGCATAATATCTGTAGTGCTGCTCCTAGGGAATGCATGGGAAGAAATTATGGCTGCTAAGCACCCAGGAGAGTACCTCCACTGAGCCCCTGACAACTGCTGCAACGAAGCTGGAGTACAGTGAGGTGATTTCAGGGAAAAGTGTAAAGCTCAGTGTTCTCTGAGATGCACTTTTGCTCAGTTTTATGCAAAAGGTTCCAGTTTGACCCCCAGTTCAGTTCCCAGCATTTCCTTCCAAAGAATGTCAGGATGCTGTTAGAGATTGAGACTGAGTGGGAACCTATGACTCACCAAGACTCAAGCTTGTTGACGTTCTCCAAATTCCAACCTGAAGCTTGATCCATGCATGTGAAAAATCTGTGTGTATTTTGTTTCCTGCTCCTCAAAGCTATTTATCAACTTTGCACATCATTGAAACATGTACATCTGTCTCTCATTGATCAAGCCACATTCATTTATGCTTTTCAAAAGTACACACTTTCCAAGTGCTCTTTTCAGTTGTGCACATGCTGTTGAACCTATTTCCTGGGGGAGAGAAACCTGTTGGAAGCTCAGAAATGTGTGAACTTAAACCATTGATGGCACTTGAGTCCAGGTGTGAAGAAGGTGTGAACTGGATAAATTCTGATCAAAATAAACTGAAACAACTTTCTTGCTGATCGCTTCTGGAGGTCTGCTGCCTTTCAGAGTAGGCAGGGAGGCTGGATTGATTCACCAGAGATCGGTTTTATGGGCAGGCATCTGCAGGTGCCCTTGCCTGCCTTTCTGCTTCTACTGCTTCATGTTGCCAATTACATTTTGAGAGCATTTCCTAGAAAGCATTGTCATATGTGCTGAGATGAATGCCCGTGCCTTCTTGCAGGGATTTCCATGGAAAATAACACGCTGGTGATTGAGCGAGTGAAGAAGGACGATGAAGGTCACTACGAATGCAAGGCTGTCAACGAAATGGGCCAGGACAGCACCCGGGCATTTATCAAAATAGAAGGTGAGCTCACAGGAGAAAAAGGTTGTGACTGGGCCCATCGGATCTCTGGAGAAGTCTAAGCAGCCTTCTCCAACCTGGTGGCCTCCCTTGTGTTGGACTGCAGTTCCCACCATCTCCCCTACAGGGCGATAGGTTGTCACAGCTGGTTTAGTACATCCACGGAACCATTCTCAAACACACGTGAAAGCAATTGCTAGCAAATTGACTGGAGAAATGGTTTTGTTCATTTCAATGGGACCATTTTTTCTAGGATGGTCATACGCAAAAGGAGACATGACTCCGGGTCTTCTACATCTGCTGAGATTCTCGCTTCTACCTAGCAATTAAAGATGGAGAATCCCAGTTACTTTTCCTTTCGCCACCTTGTTAGGTTTGCTGTGGTCCCCGCACCTGACCTTTCAGTAACTGGTTGTTGCAGCAGGTGTTTCTGAATGCACGTGCTCAAGCCTGGAGCATTGAGCCAGGCACTAACCAGGTGTTCCTTTTTCAGGGTCAGAAGAAAAGTCCAACATCGAAGTTATCATTTTGGTTTGTACAGGATTAGCAGCCACTCTTTTCTGGCTCCTTCTCACTCTCTTCATTCGAAAGCTCAGGAAGGTAAGAAGACCTCCATGCTCCAGACTTAAAAACGGGCTCTTCTTTTAGGCACGAAAGGTGTTCAGGGCAAGGAGAGTGGCTGAGGCATTTCATTTGTTAGGCTCTGCTTCATGCTAAAGTGGAAGCATTCGATTAGGAAGGGCCTCACAGTTATAAAGTACATAGACTCACTCCTATAATCAGTGCTTTTTTTGTAAAAGAAAAAAAAAGGTGCCACAACTCACATCTTGGGGTCACACTTTTACACTAAAAAAGATTTTCAATTCACCAACTGTTTTTGAAATAAAGAACTTATTTTCCTTTTGCACGTAGCCAGTCACTCTACACACACATAAACATAATGGTCGCCGCCAGCAGTAAGCACTCAGCGCGCGACCACACGACTGGTCCCAAGCCGAGCAGCATCCTGAGCCGAGCAGCACCCTCACAAGCAGCGCAGACACACAAGCAGCCCGCAGGCACTACGTTAATGCTTTTTGCTGCCAACCTGCTACACCCAACAGGGTGATTCACAACCACTTGGAAAAATCCGTCAAAAAATGGTGCCAGAATGCCGTTCCGGTGCTTTCTATGACAAAAAAAGCCCTGCCTATAATTACCTACATATATAGCATGCAAAATTCAAACAAGGGATGCAGCATTGCGTGTGGAAACTCTGCTTAGCCACTGGAGGGAAATGAAATTGTTGATCGGGGCAGGTGCAGAGGCCACATTCCGACACGACACTTCCGTTTCTTTTTTCTAACCTAGAGGCAGGCTTCGTGACGGATATTTACAGTTTGCTTAGCTCAGAGACAATATATGTCACATATTGCAGCTATTGAACTGGAATGACATAACTAGGGCTGCCCAAAAATGCTTGTTAATTTTGATACTTAATTTGAAACGAGCATGTTTGATGCTGCTGAACTAATTACTGGATAGCAAAACCTCAGCAAGTGTTGGCATTGTTTTGAGCTGCTGTTGCCTCTGGCAGCAGCTTCTTCTCCCTTTCAACTTCTCCACCGCCTCCTCTTCCCCTTCTTGGCCCTCAGCCTTCTTTGTCCTCAGCATCATTTATCTGTTCCCCCTGCCGCACCCAGCCTGGCTTTGTTTGGCAGTATTGTCTGGGGCAATGCCCTGGGAGCATCCAAGAGATCATCCAAACTGGACCAGCAGTGATGCCTAATGGAGCTGGGGAGAGGAAGGGCAGGGAAGACTCTGGTTGAACCACAAAAGTAGCCAGCAGCATTAAAGCAACACAGGCATGTTTGCAGTGGGCTTCAGAATAACTGAAGCCAATAGGTGCTTTTCGGTATCCACAAATGTACGTGAACCCAAGTAGGTCGATTGAGGCTGCAGTCTGCCACCTCCCTATACAGCCCCGTAGGGGAAGGTCCATAACCCAGCAGCGTATTGCACACTTTGCAGGCAGGAGGCCGCAGCATCAGACCCCGCACGTCCGTATCAAGCTAGGAAGCCCTCTTTTCCAAAACCTTGGTCAGCCACTGCTGGTCCATGTACAGCAGCCTTCTTCAACCTGGATTACAGCTCCCACCCTCCCTGACTTTTGGTCATGTGGGAACCAGGTTGTGAGTGCAACAGACGGAGCATCTGTCTTGGCATAAGTGAAGCTGCTATGCTCCTCCTTCTGGGCAGGCATTACAGACTTACCCTGTTACCCATCCCAGGGCTTGGCCTCATCCACAAAGCCACTGAGGCGCCTTTTGGGCTGGCATCCAGTTCCATCTGAGCCAAATCTGTTGCCATTTTGCTAAACGAGTCCGATGAACAGCAAATTACAGATGGGAGCTTTTGCAGAGTGTCGGAGAATAAAAATGCATTGTGAACTCTTTATTACACTGGCAAAAAAGAGTTTAACACCTCGGGGTGCACAGAAAGTCCTCAGCATCCCGTTTGAGCCATCAGGGTGCTAACAATGGAAGAAATATCTAGCTTGTGCCATGAGTTAAATTCTCAGTTTTCTTGCAACGTTGGCCCAAGCAACTAAGTTCATCTCCCTTCCATGGCTCATTTACTCTTTGACGTCAACCCTGTGAAGGTTCCAAAGGACTTTGGTTCCATGAGCTCCATGGAGAGTGTAATAAATAAGGCAGAAGGGAGTAGCTCTCTCATCTGGGCCCAAACCAAAACCACAGTTCCAACAATGACCATAACCATTCAAATACTTCTTTCCATGTATAAAAGTGAGAAAAGGTAAGATTACGCATGTGTATTCTTGATTTGCCCTAACCTCCTGAAAGGGCAGCTTGCATTGCTCACTTGTAATTATTAATGCCCAGGCCAAGGAGCAGCTCTGCTCCAGGTCTCAGCAAGGATCTCCAGGTTGTTTCCCACCCATTCCAATCTGTTTCACAAATGCATCATCCAAGCCTCAGGTCATCAAACACCAACAGGACGTTTTCCTCAAAATGAACGCACCCACAAATGTAGAAATCAGTCTGCTCAGAAGTAAATCCCACCAAGTCATATATAAAAATAAGTAATTTTAAATTATGGCAAAGGCTTGCCATGCGCATGGCACAAAACCACCTCTCCGAGATAATGAACCGCTAAGAGCTCCAGCTCAAACCTGAGGCACTTCTTTCAGCATTTATAATTTTACATGCAATGGACCAGAAAACCTGTCCTTATTGGTTGCCCTAATTAGAGACTGTTATGTTTCAGCACGACCATAACCTTGCTTCCACTCGAGACTGCCCTGGCACCTCCGGAAAACAGTTGCATATTGCCAAAGCGTGCATTCATTCTCTTTTGCAAAGGAAAAAAAATGATTAAATGAAGGTTATGCACTTGCAACTGGCAGAAAACCAGCAACCTTCCAATTAACAGCCTCTCTGATGCTTACAAAGAATGGATCACTTCTCTGACTGGTGCTCCTGGATGGCCGTACATGCTGTAGGAAAGACACCACTTCTTCAGCTGTACACAGTGGCGTGAAAAGTCCAGTCTGCAGCACCCACGGCTCACCAACCCGGGGCTGGAGGGGATCGCTGGAGCACTGACATGCTCCTCCACATGCGTTTCCCTGGCTAAGTTCTGCCAGAGGATGGTCTGTAAGGAGCTCGATGTCTCCTTACTGATGATTCGGACAACCAAGGCAGGCCGACAATGGCTGTGTTTGTGGGCTTCTCATCCTTGGCAGCTTTCAGTTCAAACTTCATCAGAGCTGTCTGTGGTGCGCCATGGACCGCTCCCAGGAAGCTCAATAAAACCTGCATCAGAGAAGGCAATCTAGTGACACAGGAGCCATGTTCATGCCTAAGCATCCCCTGCAGACACCTGGATGTACATATGTTTGTTCTTAATTGATTATCTTCTTCCACCCGAATCTTCTCCTCCTCAAATATTCCAGTACTTTGATTGAAAATTTTACAGGCTTGCCTTGCTAGTTATCTAGTGGGGGGGGGGTGTTTAATTAGTCACAACTGACAAAGCTGATGCCTCTTTATATCATGCATCTATGGGAATAAGCACAGAACACACAATCCACACCACCCACAAAACCTCATTTTCCCAGACCTTTGTATGGCTGATTTTTATCCCTTCATCCCTTTTGGGCTCCCATTCATTAGACACCTCCCCTTGGGTTTAAAAACAGCAGCAATTCCCACATTAATTGGCTATTTTCCCATCCCTCCTGCAGCCCGATGCCACAGATATCAAAACAGGATACTTGTCGATCATAATGGATCCCGAGGAAATGCCCCTTGATGAGCAGTGCGACCGTCTCCCATACGACAGCAGTAAATGGGAATTTCCGAGGGACAGGCTGAGGCTGGGTAAGCCATGCGTGTGTCAGCGTCAGTAGTAGTGGCATCGTCTTGAACATTTGGAGAGTCATAGCCTAGAGAACTCCATCCTGGTATTTCAGCATGTTATGTTTGGTTTCTAGAAACCGCAGTAAGAAGGAGCGGTCTGTTCTGGGGTGGTATTCTGCTCCCTGAGCAGCTTCTCCAGCCATCTAGTGTGGGAAGGAACTTCAGGTCTGGTGGCCGATGGGATGCATGCCAGCAGCAGGGGGGCTGAGCAAGGAAGGTGGGAATCCTTGCGTTTCTTGTGTAGCAACCACTGGTCTTCTCTCAGGAACATCTGGGCAAAAAGCCACGCACTGTGGAAACCACACAGGGTTGCTTGTTGTGACCTGTGAACCCAGCCATTGTCTGAGAGAGCTTCATGCTGGCTAGGAGTTGCAGTCCAGCCTGTTTGGAGAAGATTGTCCTAGCATGGACTAGAACAGAGCATGGACCATATCTGTTGGGCCTTGTCATGGAACGAGGAATGAGCAGGCAACCCCTTTATTCCTCATTTGCCCCTGGCTGCACCTCTCAGAAGCTTGGGCAAGCCGTCCTTCAGGCACACCTGGATGCATCCCCAGTCTTTGCACTGAGGCAAACAGGGATGCCATTCATAACTCAAGGCTTCCCAGTTCAGTCCGTCATCTTTGGGAGGAAGGGATGGGTTTGTTGTAGCACGAGGACCACGACGTCCTCCTTGACGCTCCTGCACGGGCACGGGAAGCTCTTTCTGCGCATCCTCAGAATCAGCTCTGATGCTTCTGCAGAGGAGAATCCCAAGCTCCCTATCAAGGGAGTGTCTACACAGATCTTGTGTTTCTTACAGACGAGAACAGTAATGTGTATTCTTATTAACTATGGAACAGCTTCCCCCAGCTGGTGCTGTCCAGATGTGTTGGACTATCTCCCATCATTCCCAGATAGCATGATGGGAGTTGAAGTCCAACACAGCCAGAGAGCACAATGTTAGAACCATTGCTGTAGAACATAGTTGTATCTCAGTGTCTATCCAGTCCAACTGTTTGTGTTGCTGGTAAGTTCACTTTATCCCACAAGCAGTTGCAATGCACTCTTCTTTTAGAATAAATATCCATGGATAACACCTCCTATAGCTACTTCCTCCATATTGAGGCCTTCCTTAATATTTTTTTCCTATAGATTTGTCCTAAGAATCATTCTTCTCCAGACAGACAGACAGATTGATTTTTTACTGCTTTTATTTTGATTTTATTTACTTACTTACTGCTAAATGTACATGGTGGAAGAGGTTTGAAGCAAAATTCCTACTGTACATTAGAAAGCAGTAGCATGTTTTGTTTTTCACAAAGCACAGTTTCAAAAGGTCTTCTGAATGCATTCTGAATTTTGGAATATCCCCACACCAGAGAACTGAATTTAGCCATCTTTATTTTTCCTGCAATGTATGTTTCTCTGACATTATTTTTAGGGTGCAATGTAATGCATGTTTAGACTGAAAAAATGTCTTACACTTCCCAGTATTCCCAGCATAGCTGCCTGAGGAATGTCGGGAGTTGTGGAATCCTAAGCATGCAAAGGACCGTGCCCTTAAAAATCTTGTATCATCGCATATGGTCATAAACTCTGGTCAGTTTATACCTATGTTCCAGTGTGTGATACAAGCCTCTTATGCCAATCTCTGCTGCATGTAATCGAGGCTCCGAGGTTTTGCTCTTCTTGCACAGCAAACGATGCATGTTTCTCTCATGTGCCCAGGGCTGTGTGTACGTGGCAAGTCCATGAACGCAGAAAGGTTCCCGAAGGTGCTGCTGCAGGAAGGATCCAGGATTCCAGAGAATCTCGGATTTCTTCCCTTTCTTTGCACCTTCTGCTTTCAAAGGTATTCTTGAAAGCTGCAAAATCTGAGAAAGGGGTAAAGTTGAGTCCAGTGCATGATATTCCATTGGCTTCTCCCAGAGGTGAGCAGAAGCACAATAAAATCTTCAACACAGAGGAAGAGAAGAATTCATGGTGTAAAATTAGAGGGATCGTGCAACCTTGTTTCGCGTTGCAGAATGTATTCAGGTCACAGGGTGCAGAATTTCTTGCTGCAGAATCTGGATCGCCTTGATGCAGAGTTATTTGTTTGCTCACTTGCACACCCTGCACACAGCCTGGCTTCTCTCCGATGCAAACTGTTGTCAGTTCTGTCCGGCTCACTCTTTCCTCTTGCTTCTCTAGGTAAAACTCTGGGTCATGGTGCTTTTGGGAAAGTGGTGGAAGCATCTGCTTTTGGCATAGATAAATCTTCAACCTGCAAAACAGTTGCTGTTAAAATGCTTAAAGGTACACTTCTCTGAGACTCTCAGCATGCGCTTCCCAAAGCATGTGGCGCTCCACATGGTCAGAGGCACAAGGCCATTGCTGGCGATGGTAGACCGTGTTGGCTTCCCTCTCTCCCTCTTTGGTGCCCCTGTCCCGTCATCAGCACAGTGTTCATCTTTCCACCTCCATCGGTGAAATATGTGGCGTTGTGGTGGGAAGATGCAACCCCGTGAGGTCCTAACCTGGGACCAGGCCTCGTGCCAGTGCTTCGCACCCTTGGCCGGCTGCTGGAGCTTTCCCACCTCTCTCTCCTGGGCTGGGCTCACCGCAACAGTCCTAGAGGAAAGGAAGCACGGCACAAGACCGACGGGTGTCCGCGAGCGGCAACGGCAGCACATGTTTCCAACTGAGTCCTTCCTCAGGGGCTCTCCTGAGCCACCGAGTTCAACCTGATATCTTGAGTCAGTTGTAAGTTAAAGCTCTCAGTATGAAACATGTTGGGCTCAGTCAAAAGATGTACATCTGCACGTCTGCTCACTTTCCCCTACGGACCTGGTCCTCACTGGGAATAAGACGAACCCCACCATGGTGGAAAGGAAAAGAATGACCCGAGGCTGCTGTTTTTGGTGACGCAATCCCTGCTGTCTCCTGCACACAGCTTCACCCCTAGTTTCAATTCCTTGGGTGCTGGAAATGAGTGCTTCCTGTCTGTCCACACGGACGTCCTCCACAAGTAGGGAATACCAAGCACTCCCCACACAGAGACATTGACCCGCTCTTGGCATGCCCAGCTGAGATGGAGTGACGGCCTTCAGTTAGGAGGGAAGCAGCCTGTATAACACAATCGAATCTGATCGTCATCCTGATGGGGCAGGATAGTCTGGGAACGCTCTGATTCCAGCCCTTTGGGGCAGAGCACATTTCAAGCCCTGCGAAGGAAGGACACCAGGGTAGCAAATTAAGGCCCGAACGGGCTTCCTTTCTCAGTGGAGGCTTGGGCCATATGGTACCTCCTAAGGCCATTTGCATACCATTCCCGATGCGCAAATGACTGGAGTCAAGTCTTTCACTCCCTCCCCGCCACTGCTGAGTCTCTTCGCTGCGTGAGCTGCAGTGTCTCCTTGCCTCATGGTGCTGAATCTCCTCCTCATTCCTAGCAAAGCCTTTGTCCGCAGCCTCTTCTATCTCCTCTCCCACGTACCCAACCCCTTTGGATGCTGAGGCTCCCCCAGACCCATCCAGTCTGGCCTCTCTGCTACCGAGTGGCATTTTGGGGTCCCCTTCACAGGCTCTGCTCTGATTCCTCATTTTCTGTCCTTTTGGGGTGACTCCCATGGAGGAATACAGGAGGAGAATCTCACACTACAGTTCACCAGCCATGCAAACTTTACAGGAAACATGTATTGAAAAGCTGGGATTTCCAGCAGCTCATTTTCACAGGTCTTTCCTAAAGTGCACATGGATGAGTAAGCCATATGGAAAGATGGGGAGCAATCTCTGCATTGCCAGCTCATTAGTTTAGAACACTTACCTGAGAACACCCAGACTCTATATTGCTTGGCTTGGGCCAGAACTGTGGAGAGCAAAGACTTCTGCAGGATGTTCCCCAAAACCTTCTACCACAGATAAAGGCAGGGGGAGTTTGAGGACTTCTTGTTGTAAGGGAAGTGGCTTCTTGTCAGAGAAGACTGATGCGGACAGGACCTAGGCAGCCGTTGTTCCTGCCCGTCGACTGCTAGTGCTGGTGACGTTTCGCTTCCCCTCTGAGTATAAACAGGATTTTCCGTCCCCTGTTGGCAAAATCCTGTGGTACAAAGATGCCTGTGTCCTGTTTCCCCAAGCAGAGTGCGCAACGACCAATGAATGCAAGGCACTGATGTCTGAACTCAAGATCCTCATTCACATTGGGCACCACCTCAACGTGGTCAACCTGCTGGGAGCTTGTACCAAGCCAGGAGGTAAGCCAAGGCTAATTGCCCTGCTTCAGAGACAGACAAAACCATTTTAGCACGTTTGATCTGGTCCGTAACTTACCAAAAAACAACATTTCTGCCTGAGCATGAATCCCTGGGTTTCTTTATTTTGGAAATGTTTTATCTCACTTTGTGTTGAAACCTAATAAATAAATCCCAAAGCAGTTCACAAAATAAAGGCAGGGAAAATGCAATCAGTACACAGCAACAAAACATTAACACCCCTTGCTAAAATAACCCGAGGGGGCTGCCCATGCTAGCAGTCAGGAAAATGCCCATTCATTCCACACCTGGAACCCACTGGATTTTTTCAGGGAGATCACTGAAAATGGTGGGTCATGATGTGCAGCACCGGGAGGTGCCTTGTGTTGGAGCCAGATGCACTGCTGCAGCTGCCTGATCTGGTGATCGAAAATGGACCGTGCTGGAGGTTTTGTTTGTTCGTTTGTTTGTTGGGGGGAAAGGGGTCTCTAGAGATCTGTGCAAAACAGTCGCACCCGTCGGTATGCATATGTGTAGTGCCACTCGCTCAATTGGAGATTGTCCTAAGTCAGGTCTTCTGCACAAAAGTCGGAATCATCAACTTTGTGTGAATGGGTTCACACTATTTTTAATATTTTATCGCATCCACAAGTCCGTTATGTAACCCTGGTGCAGTATATTCCTTTGGTAAATATCCTTGCCGGTTTCATACTGCCACTGCTCTGACATGAGCTGACTATTATTCCTGCTTCACAAAGCATTTGTCATTTTCAATTTCATCTAGTTTTATTTTTTTTCATAAAACCTCAGGACATTTGCATAAATACCAAGCAACACAATTTGCACGAAAGCTGGGCACCACAATTTATGCATGTATCGGGTGCCTCAATATGTCCAAACTTCCTGAGCATTAAAAAAAAAAAAACCTCATGCAAACTGCAGCCCATTTTAAAAACAGGAATCTGCATGCTGGCTCCACTCACCTGATCAAGTTGGCACCATCACGGAGGAAACAGAAGGGAATATGGGAGGCTCAGGTTGGGTCAGTCCATGGGATGCTCACCCCCCAAATGTTTCTGTCATGCATCCATAGTGCATAGTGGCAGCTCCCATGATAAAGAAGGTCCTGCAACATACCCCCAGCAAATGAACATCAAGAGGCCCTGGTAGGTTCAGCAAGGCCAGTGTGGCATAGTGGTTAGGAGTGTGGGACTGGGACTCAGAGGATCCGGGTTCGAGTCCCCGCTCGGCCATGGAGCCAGCTGGGTGACTTTGGGCCAGTCACAGACTCTCAGCCCAACCCACCTCACAGGGTTGTTGTTGTGGGGATAAGATGGAGGAGGAGAATGATGTCAGCTGCCTTGAGCCCTTTGTAGGAAAAAGGCAGGGTATAACTCGAAAAATAAATAAATAAATCAGGCCTCCTTCCATTCAGGAATGAAGACCAGGGTGACCTCTTCAGGGGAAGGCAGTCACCCGGGTTACCTGGTCCTGAGCCTGCCACCCCTTTAGGAACATGCTATGCATTTCCTAGAACATTGCTATAGAATCGTACGGTGCACCACTCTAGACTTCTGGATGGATCCTCTTTCAGAACCTACACAGACCCACAAATAAATACCCATACATTACACGCCTCCTATGGCTAGCAAACCAGCACATCAGGACGAGGGCTGCTTGGCCACTGTGATTATTCGCTACAGGCAGGGAGGATCCAAGCAGCGGGTGTATGCAAATGCCTTTTTTACTATTGACTCTCCATTGTGATGCACCAGACCAGATGTCTTGGGCCACCATTCCAGCCGCTCCCAGCCGGCTGTGTTCGGACTGCAGCGCAACCCATCTGGAGGGTGTCGTGTTGATCGCCAGGCCCTTGTCCTTCTCAAAGCAGGCTTGCCCTGGTCCCACCAGAACCCTCCCCAAGTTCCCCCGGCAGTGAATGAGCCTTCCTCCTCCTCCAAGCTGGTGTTTTCATCCATGCAAGTGGCGCACGCACACGGCGGGGTGTCCAGTGGACCCAGTGTGAGGACCCCAGCGCTCACAGGGCCTTTGAGAGCTTTCTTGCTCTTGCCCTCCTTGCCGAATGATACGCAGCCTTGCAGGACGTCCCTTGTGGTCTCTGTTTGCAGCTGCAGCAAGCACACAGCATACAGCTTTCAGAGCGCAACATTCAAAATCACAAATAGCAGGTATGGAACCGAAGCTTTTAGAGAGGAAAGGCTGTTTTCCTAAGTTAGCTAATAGCAGCTCTTTACATGCCATGTGAACCCCCCGTTCACCTTCTCTGCCCTTCTGAGGCGTGTTGCACCCGGTTTTTTGTGCTTCTGCCACTGGGTGAAAGCTGAAGACTTCCAAAGAATGCTGTCCGAGTCGCTCCCAGTTTCTGCCACAGTGCAAAAAGACTTAGGTGAAATGTCGCCCGTTTTTGGAATGTCAACAGCCCTTACGGCAAGCATAGCATTCCTTAGCTGACTCCCCCAGTGCAGAAGAAGCAAGTTCAGCTGTGATTGCAATTGCAGAGTGACTGCATGGGGCGTTGCTTCCATTCCTGGGGTCTGGAAATGGGGGGCCGGAGCAGAAATGTATGGGGCCACCCCAGTGATACACTGCAAACCATGTCAGAGCAAGACTGAGGAAAGTAGAAGCCCAGTGAGAATTCAAAAGCATATAAATGGGTGCAGTCATGTATTTTTCCTGGGCAAATTTTGGCCTGCAGGTCCTCCATGCCTGATTTAGTGAAGATGATCTAAAGCAGGAATCTGAGCTGGTAGTCAGTTTTCTGTTCTTGCTTCCCAAGACTGACAAAGCATCTCACCCCGATTTTGTTGTTCATCCCATTCTCTACCATGCATGCAATGGAGGTGTTTATTTTTAGATGATGGCTTCCACTGGTGTGTGTATTTATCATTTTATGACCTTTGATCGTTTTTGCAGGTCCTTTGATGGTTGTGGTAGAGTACTGCAAGTACGGAAATCTGTCTAATTACTTACGGGGAAAACGAGGAGACTTTGTTGCATGCAAGGTGAGATGCATAACTGGATTTTGAAATAGATCAAACCTGTTTCCTTCCAGAGAGTATTTGCAAGCCTATTTATTTATTTATTTATTTATTTATGTAAAACATTTCTATGCCGCCCCCATCGCAACAAAGCCTCGGGGCGGCTCACAACAAAAACAAAACAAACAAAGTCATACAAAAAAAATTATATACTAAAAATATTAAAACCCAGTGTGTCTTGGCTTAAATTTTTTTTAAAATCCTACAGAATAAATTAACATTTAAAATAAGTTTTAAATAAAAAGGTCTTAGCCTGGCCCTGAAAAACAAATAATGACGGCGCCAGGCGGACCTCTCTGGGGAGCGCATTCCATAGGTGGGGCGCCACTGCAGAGAAGGCCCTCCTCCGGGTACTCGCCCTCCTAATGAACTTCACGGAGGGTTCCTGAAGAAGGGTCTCTGCTGCCAATCTCAAGGGGCGGGAGGGCAATTTGCCTTCCTCATGCGCTAGTGGAATGGACAGGTTCATTTTTGTCCTCTTGAGAGAAGACAGAAGGTTATGGGGGACCCCATCCACCCTATCAGGAGTAGAAAGGGGGCAAGGGGATCCCCCTTCACTGACTTAGAGGGAGCCACCAACATGGTGACCCCAAGTTGGAAGCTTCCCACAGATCTGGAAGTCTCTCACTGGGGTGGAATCACTCCATTGTCATGAATGGAGAGCCTTTTTTGCTGTGACTGCAGCTGCTTTTTGTGTTCTCCCCTTGAAGAAATTTTGCATGGTCACAGGCTAAGAAATAACAGCAACACCAACAAAATAAGAACACAATAAACATAAATGCAATTTATGCAATGTCTTAGTTTACTCAGACAGCAACATATCTCTCCAAATTGCATTGCAGGCATTAAAAAATTGCCAGACCATCAAGGGACATGATGCTTCCCTTATACAGACTGATTCCAAAGTGGAAGGAAGGAGTATAACCATAGATGTATTACCAGTAGTAGAAGGGGTTTCCTCCCTACATTCCTAATGGAAGCTGCAATATGGGAGAAGAGGGTCCATAGATTCTCTAGGTTTAGCCCCATAAAAACATGTGCGAGGCCATTCCTAAATTTTTCCAGTAATGCCACCAATGGACCTCCAATTGGAGATTTTTCTGCCCAATTCATCCAATCAGCCCCTTCAGAACATGTTCCAGGTCTCGGAAGCAGCAGAAGTTCCTTCGTTTTCCTAACCCTAACCCTACC